CTTTTTGCTGAGGAAGACTGGCCCTGGGCTAACATCCGTGCCCATCTTCCTCTACTTTATATGGGACGCCACCACAGCATGGCTTGACAAGCGGTGCGTCGGTGCGCACCCAGGATCCGAACCTGCAAACCCCGGGCCGCCAATCCGGAGCGCACGCACTTAACTGCTGCGCCACCGGGCCGGCCCCACACATGCTTTCTTTATAGCAAATATTTTGTAGCATCTCCTTAAATTCATCCTGAAATAAAATGCATAGGGTAAATAACCTACCTACTCATAATTTTTAAAAAATCACTATATTGCCCAAACCATATTATAAGGGAGTGATAAAAAGAATGTTCTTCGTAATAAAATTATCTATACTTTGAATGAAAATGGCAAGGCACAATCACAATTATTCTGGAAGGCAGAACTGAGCAGTCAGACGCTTGCACCTATAGGTTGAATCACGATGTTGCTGAATCTAATAGTCTTCCCTTGATATATAGGATCATTGAATTTTTGTAAAATTCAGGACACATTTACAATGTGCGAAAAATGCTTATCTAAAACGGAATTGGGCTCTAGGTTCAGATCATTATAAATGGATTCCCCCCCTCACGAATGTCTGATGAGACTTTCAAAAGTGGACTGGGATATGGGCAAATCTTGCTAGAGGGGATTGTCCCTCACAATCCAGCCTCCCTGCCCTCATCACTGTGCCAAGTAAATTTCCAGAAGCTTCTTAGCTGGTAAAACTCCACTGTTCTAGATTCAGTGTGTTCTAGAAACTAAGAAGCTTAGGGACTGAGTGTGTTAGTGGCTGTTCTAGAGTCACTGGGGTCCTCACAACTATTCAAAGGAGATTCTAGACCATCACCCTCCACTAAAATCTATTGCAAGCCACATAGGTAGTTTTTCATTTTCTAGTATACATATTACAAAAAGTTTTTTATTTTTTCTGGTGAGGAACATCAGCCCTGAGCTAACATCTGTTGCCAATCCTCCTCTTTTTGCTGAGGCAGATTGGCCCTGGGCTAACATCCGTGCCCACCTTCCTCTACTTTATGTGGGACGCCGCCACAGCATGGCCTGACAAGCGGTGCATCGTGTGCGCCCGGGATCCGAACCTGCGAAACCTGGGCCGCCGCAGCGGAGCGCGCACACTTAACCGCTATGCCACTGGGCCAGCCCCCAAAAAGTCTTTTTTAAAAAGGTGAAATGAGGGCCGGCCCCGTGGCCTAGCGGTTAAGTGCGCGCGCTCCGCTGCTGGCGGCCCGGGTTCG